ATTGCTATCATCATCTTTCAATTTTGCTTTCTCAAGGAACGCATTAAAATTCAATGGAACAACAGCACGAGCCATCTATCTACAATCAAACATAAACAAGCAAGATACTATCAGGTACTAAGTTCATGATAAATTTAAGTCCAATTAGTCAAATTAATTAAAGAACTCCCACTTAGATAGACATCCCTCTAATCCTCTAAGTGATCACGTGATCCAAATCAACTAAACCATAACCGATCATCACGTGAGATGGAGTAGTTTTCAATGGTGAACATCGTTATGTTGATCATATCTACTATATGATTCACGCTCGACCTTTCGGTCTCCGTGTTCCGAGGCCATATCTGTATATGCTTGGCTCGTCAAGTATAACCTGAGTATTCCGCGTGTACAACTGTTTTGCACCCGTTGTATTTGAACGTAGAACCTATCACACCCGATCATCACGTGGTGTCTCAGCACGAAGAACTTTCGCAACGGTGCATACTCAGGGAGAACACTTCTTGATAATTTAGTGAGAGATCATCTTATAATGCTACCGTCAATCAAAGCAAGATAAGATGCATAAAAGGATAAACATCACATGCAATCAATATAAGTGATATGATATGGCCATCATCATCTTGTGTTTGTGATCTCCATCTCCGAAGCACCGTCGTGATCACCATCATCACTGGCGTGACACCTTGATCTCCATCGTAGCATCGTTGTCGTCTTGCCAAGCTTGTGCTTCTACGACTATCGCTACCGTTTAGTGATAAAGTAAAGCATTACATCGCGATTGCATTGCATATAATAAAACAACAACCATATGGCTCCTGCCGGTTGCCGATAACTCGGTTACAAAACATGATCATCTCATACAATAAAATTCAGCATCATGTCTTGACCATATCACATCACAACATGCCCTGCAAAAACAAGTTAGACATCCTCTACTTTGTTGTTGCAAGTTTTACGTGGCTGCTACGGGTTTAAGTAAGAACCAATCTCACCCAGGCATCAAAACCACAACGATAGTTTGTCAATTTGACTCTGTTTTAACCTTCACAAGGACCGGGCGTAGCCACACTTGGTTCAACTAAAGTTGGAGAGACAGTCGCCCGCAAGCCACCTATGTGCAAAGCACGTCGGGAGAACCGGTCTCGCGTAAGCGTACGCGTAATGTTGGTCCGGGTCGTCTCGTCCAACAATACCGCCGAACCAAAGTATGACATGCTGGTAGGCAGTATGACTTGTATCGCCCACAACTCACTTGTGTTCTACTCGTGCATGTAACATCAACATATAAAACCTAGGCTCGGATGCCACTGTTGAGGAACATAGTAATTTCAAAAAATATCCTACGCACACGCAAGATCATGGTGATGCATAGCAACGAGGGGGGAGTATGATCTACATACCTAGTAGATCGACAACGGAAGCGTTTGGTTGATGTAGTCGTACGTCTTCACGATCCGACCGATCAAGCACCGAAACTACGACACCTCCGAGTTCTAGCACATGTTCAGCTCGATGACGATCCCCGGACTTCGATCCAGCAAAGTGTCGGGGAAGAGTTCCGTCAGCACGACGGCGTGGTGACGATCTTGATGCACTACTGCAGCAGGGCTTCGCCTAAACTCCGCTACAATATTATCGAGGACTATGGTGGAAGGGGGCACCGCACACGGCTAAGGAATAGATCACGTGGATCAACTTGTGTGTTTCTGGGGTGCCCCTTGCCTCAGTATATAAAGGAGCCAGGGAGAGGGGGCGGCCGGCCAAGGTGCGCGCGCCAAGGGGGAGTCCTACTCCCTCGGGAGTAGGACTCCTAGTTGGACAAGGAGAGAGGGAAAAGAGGTGGAAGAGAGGAAGGAAAGAGGGGGCGCCGCCCCCCTTCCCTTGTCCTATTCAGACTAGGAAGGGGAGGGGCGCGCGGCCACCTCTTGCCTCCTTCTCTCTTCTCCCTCAAGGCCCATGTGGGCCCAATAAACCCCCCGGGGGGGGGGTTCCGGTAACCCCCCGGTACTCCGGAAAAATGCCGATTTCACCCGGAACGATTCCGATGTCCAAATATAGGCTTCCAATATATCAATCTTTACGTCTTGACCATTTCGAGACTCCTCGTCATGTCCGTGATCACATCCGGGACTCCGAACAACCTTCGGTACATCAAAATGCATAAACTCATAATAAAACTGTCATCGTAACCTTAAGCGTGCGGACCCTACGGGTTTGAGAACAATGTAGACATGACCGAGACATGTCTCCAGTCAATAACCAATAGCGGGACCTGGATGCCCATATTGGCTCCTACATATTCTACGAAGATCTTTATCGGTCAGACCGCATAACAACATATGTCGTTCCCTTTGTCATCGGTATGTTACTTGCCCGAGATTCGATCATCGGTATTCCAATACCTAGTTCAATCTCGTTGCTGGCAAGTCTCTTTACTCGTTCTGTAATACATTATCCCGCAACTAACTCATTTAGTTGCAATGCTTGCAATGCTTAAGTGATGTGCATTACCGAGAGGGCCCAGAGATACCTCTCCGACAATCGGAGTGACAAAACCTAATCTCAAAATACGCCAACCCAACATGTACCTTTGGAGACACCTGTAGTACTCCTTTATAATCACCCAGTTACGTTGTGACGTTTGGTAGTACCCAAAGTGTTCCTCCGGTAAACGGGAGTTGCATAATCTCATAGTTATAGGAACATGTATAAGTCATGAAGAAAGCAATAGCAACATACTAAACGATCGGGTGCTAAGCTAATGGAATGGGTCATGTCAATCAGATCATTCTCTTAATGATGTGATCCCGTTAATCAAATAACAACTCATTGTCCATGGTTAGGAAACATAACCATCTTTGATTAACGAGCTAGTCAAGTAGAGGCATACTAGTGACACTTTGTTTGTCTATGTATTCACACATGTATTATGTTTCCGGTTAATACAATTCTAGCATGAATAATAAACATTTATCATGATTATAAGGAAATAAATAATAACTTTATTATTGCCTCTAGGGCATATTTCCTTCAGCCGCCACCTTGATTCGGCGCCGAACCCCACCTTCACACTGGATCCACACCTCCAGCGCCGTCTCCGGGGTCCCCAAGTCCACGTGTCGCCGGTGCTCCGGCGCTCCGGCCATGGATGCCCTGCCCGAGCTCGTGAACGACGCCGCCACCTTGATCCGGCGCCGAACCCCACCTCAACCGCTGTTGCGTGGCCGCGGGAGGACAGCGCCCAATAATAAAGCATGGATTGAGTCTTCGGGCTTACCGTCGCGGCGTTTTTGCAAAATATTCCCTGTGTCTTTTGGTATTCGATCCGCAGTATTTTAAATAAGTCAGCCGAACCGGTATGGCCGAGATAAAAAAACACACCCTCACAACCCTGCCTCCCAATCCTATCTCCGACTCCAGCACACCGCCGCCTCCTGCCACGCCACGCCCCCGCGGCCGCGCGCCGCTGGCCCATCCCCCGCCACCCCCACCCCCTTGCATGGTTTCCATGGTTGGATCTGCCGGCCGCCCGGTCGATTTTGCCTTGAACGAGAATGTGAGCTCGCGGGCGCCGCTGCATCTGCTCCGACGGAAGGGGCGGGAGATGGCGCTGCTGGAGGCCGTGATTGGGGGAAGACGGCAGCAGGGGCGGATGTACAGGGTGGCCAGGGTGGGCCACGGCCCATCCTGGGATTTTGGATCACCTTTTATATATCTATGCATCTGTTCGGGCCGGAGAGAAAAAAACGCCCAATAACGCACACAACCACGGCCTGTCTGTCCAGATCGAGCAGAACGAGTTGTCCCCCTCGCGCACAGCCGCCTCGCCGTTCCCCTGCTCCACCCCGACACCCAGCCGCCGCGCCGTTCCTCTCGTCCTCGCCGGTCTTCGGTCGGCCGGAGCCCGGAGCCCAGCCGCCCAGGAGGCTCCTTGCTCCCGCCTCCCCTTCCCGGCTTCCCACCCGCCCAGTCCAGGGCTCCAGGCGTTTGGCTCAATTTTCTGTAATAACCTGCCTATGCTTGCTCCATCTTATGGCCTCACCTTTAGCAACTCTAGGCAGAATCTGACCATAGCTATGCATGGTTTGTTGCTGTGTGGATCTGGGATCTCAATGTGCAGCGTAGTAAGTTGTTGTGTGGTACTCCATGTACCTGTGATGGTCTGATGGATCATGGTTGTCTCATCACGTAGATGTAGATGCGCAGAGAGCAAATCCTTGTGCCTTTACTGTCTTCTGTATAGTTGTGTGGCTGAGTGGAAGCACTTCTTATAGGAAAGAAAAAATCTTGAGTTTTCTTTATCTGGTACCGGCATATTGCATTTCAATTTGTTTGATTTACTCTGTGAGGAAGATAGTTTATATAACATATAAACTGTAAAACATGGAATTCTGGCAGCTATGTTTGTCGGGTTACAGTTTCGGACCATGATGGAGTACCCATCTGTTCCAGGGACTGATCTGTTCCTTCCCTTTTGACTGCAAATTTTTTGTACATGAATGAACAGATACATAATTTTGTACATTATTTCTGCCTCAATTAGCTTTATTGATAGAAAGTAATTTTTGTTACAGAATTGTTGAGGAATGAAGAGGGCCAGACGAGACATTATTTCTCTTTTTCCAGAAGAAGAGAAACAATGTCTCGTCAAGGCCGGGAATATGTCGGATGTGGCCGAAGAGCAAACCGGAGAACTTGTGTGTATGCCAGAAACATAGTCTTTTTGAACTTCTCAAGGTATGTACTATGGTCTGTGTAATATGTACTATGTAGGCTTTTTTATGCAAGGCAGAGATTTAATTGAGAATTTTAGTGTTTTTGCAAGACCATATTGTGATATTGATCTATTTCTTTGTGATATTGGTATTAGTTAGAACTTTCACATGTCATATTGCTTATCAAAAAAAAAAATGGGGCGGACCACCCTGGTGTCAAATACTAGCTCCGCCACTGGACGGCAGGGAGTATGACGAGCTCGGGGAGGAGAGGTTGGAGGGATGGACGCGGGAGTCAAGCTGCCACGAACGACGAGTCAACAACACGTGCCGCTCGGGCACGCGACCACCGTGTCTCCCGTCAATCCGGTCGCCCATGAGAGGGACGAATGCGATCACGAGTTCATGTCCACATACTGGCAGTGGAGGAGGCGGAGGAGGGCTCAACACAAGGTGGATCATCCTTGCGTTGGGGTCGTCAACGGGGAGGAATTGACCACTGGCATGCAGCGGCTCAGGTCCGGATTGCTGCGCGGCCATGGGGCCATGGCCAGGGTGATCCACAATGCCCGGGTCAACGAGTGCGTCGTTCTAGACCTCTACTCCTTCAGCACGCTGATCCGGGGCTGCGGCCAGGTGATCTGGAGCGTGCACGGAAGGTGTTCGATGGTATGTTCTTCGGGCAGTTATGAAGAAAAGTGTGGATTACACTATTCTTTGTTCCGATTCTTGCACCTGTTGGTTTTTTACTTTCAGAGCTCTGAAAAATATAAGATGGTCTGTGTTTTCTTTCCTGGTACAAGTACTTTAAACTGGCACCATATTATTGCTACAATGAACAAAGGTTGTATTTTTACATTGATTGGTACGCAAATAGTTGTCTTAGCTGATCACCTGCTGCGTATGTATGCTTTCACTTAACCTTGCTTGTGTCTGTGTTATTCTTTCCTAGCTGTATCTGCTTATGGTCTGATGCTTGCCCCTGTGTTGTGCTACAGAACTTACCTAACAGGCAGAAACCTGGATGAGGAAAGGGCTCTGCGGTAGATCGATCAAGGGAACATACTATTTGGTAAATTAATTTTCTGTCAATTTTTGTTTCCGGTCTCTTCTTGCATGCATGAATTAGTCCTTGTTCACTCTGCTTACTGTTCTCTCTCTACAGAGCAGTGAAAAAGAAAACGAAGGAACAGATGGATGATTTCAGGTATTGTTTTCAACTGGAAATGTTCAAATTGATATGTATGTGATGACTTTCCTCTTCTATCTATGAATAAATGTTCCCTCTAATCTTTTCTTTAGATACATGCACAAAAAGTTAAAACCAGTCCTTATTTCTGTTTACTACTAGGGCTATTTGATTTGATATGCCCTCATAGAGCAGCAGCAGGGAGAAACCACCCTACTTTGCCATGTCTATGAGCCATCCAGTCTAGAACCCATATGAATTCTGAACATCTAGCAGGGTGCAAGTTACTTCGCTGATGCTTATATGTTCTAGAAAGTAAAAGAAAGATACTACTCAACTACCCCCTCCGTCCCAAAATAAGTGTCTCAACTTTGTACTAACTTTAGAAAAAAGTTGTGCTAAGCTTGAGACACTTATTTTGGGACGGAGCGAGTATGTTTTTGCCAATTGTCCTCTGGACTTTGAGTAACTTTACACAAATGCTTCTTAACCATTATGGTAGATTATTGATAGAAGCTATCAGCCTGATATCTCTGAAGATAGAATAGTATAATGTGTGTGATTCGGTGTTGTTACCCTCGGATGCAGGTAATGAGAGAATCAATCGGGCAGGAATACCGGGAAGTCGTTGAAAGAAGGGTATTCACTGTAACTGGTAATCGCCTTGATGAAGAGGTATAGTGGCAACATTTTTTTCTATGGTTAAATTTGTGCTTTTTTCTTTCTATTGTTTATCTTTCTTACAGTGTGCCTCCTTTGTAACTTTGGAACCTGCGGACAATTGATGGTTTAATCGAGACAGGAAGAAGTGAGCAGATTTTCAAAGATGCAGTTCAGAAGCAGGGGAGAGCCCAGGTATATATGAGTTATAACTTGGTCATGATCTGGACACTTGTGGGAAAAACACATCGAAATCTCAGGATGATAATTTTTCATCCATGTTGCAGATATTGGATACTGTTGTTGAGATACAGGAGCGGCATGATGCTGTAAGAGATCTAGAGAGGAAGCTTCTGGAGTTGCAGAAGGTTATACTGTTTTAATGCACAAGCTCTTTTGCAATTTATTTTATAGTTGACACTTGACACCTACCATGCATGCATATGTGAATCGAAGGGATTTCCTTTCCTGGGTTTTGGCTTGTAGATATTCCTGGATATGGCAGTGTTGGTTGAGGCTCAAGGAGACATGATCAGCCACATAGAGACACATGTAAGACGATGAATGTTTAGGGTAGTATTTTTTTTTCAAAAATATGTTCAGGGTAGTGTTAGTACTCAACAAGTAAAAACACAATTTGTGATGCCGCCTCCACCGGTAGTGACAACACGATCGCTGCATTTGGTCTATCCCGAGCCTCTGATTGTGGTTGCTGTTCTTTCGATATCCGCTTGCCATGATATTGTGGCTGGACTTCTGGTATGTGTAATGTGTTACCTCTAAATTTTTTTATCTGGACTAATTAGGGCCTGCTTCTGTTTGCTCTAATTGATATAATGGTTGTGGCATGCAGCAGCCATGCCAACAACAGAGCCAGGCTTAGGCCTGATAATGACTTGACAAATATGGTCAAAATGCTG